GAGACCCCACCTCAAGTACTGTGTGAGTTTTGGGCCCCTCACTACAAGAAGGACATTGAGGTGTTGGAGCATGTCCAGAGAAAGGCTACAAGGCTGATGAGGGGTCTGGAGGACAAGTCTTATGAGGAACGACTGAGGGAACCGGGGTTGTTTAGCCTGGAGAAGAGGAGGCTGAGAGGAGACCTTATCACTCTCTGCAACTACCTGAAAGGAGGTTGTAGAGAGGTGGGGGCTGACCTCGTTTCCCTGGTGACGAGTGATAAGACAAGAGGAAATGGGTTCAAGTTATGTCAGATGAGGTTTAGAATGGGTATTAGGAAACAATTTTTCACTGAAAGCGTTATTAAACATTGGAATAGGCTGCCCAGGGAGGGGGGGGATTCGCCATCTCTGGTGGTGTTTAAAAAAAGGGTAGATGTGGTACTTGAGGACATGGTTTAGAGGTGGTTTTGTCAGGGTAGGTTGATGGTTGGACTTGATGATGTTAAAGGTCCCTTCCAACCTCAGCAATTCTAGGATTCTATACACTGTGTTGTCTTTGCAGGATTTCCGCCGTGCCCCTACAGTTATCTTTTTCAAGACAGATATAGGACCTGCTTTGGAAATGAATCAGGGCTGTACAGCAATCTGGACATTGTCAATAAATTCCTTCCCTAATTTGTAGCAGAAGTTGGAAGGCATACGGAAAATGGTACTGAGGGCTGTGGAAGAGAAGGGAAGTATTCTGAAGGGAGCTGGTACCACTTGCAGAACTGGCTCTGCTAATTTATTCCTGAAAATTTTAGGTGATCTATGAATTTTATGTTCCTGGTTTTCTGGGTACCTAATTTGAAAATCAGCTGCCCCCTTTTCTCTGCAACAGAAGTCAAAGCTGGCTGTACTTTGAATATAAAAGACTATATAATGCTCAGTACTCTGAAAGATCAGTGCTTCACACCAAGCACCTATATTTAGTGAAGTCTTCAGTTCTGCAGGTATTACTGGGGGATTATATACCTCACCTCAGAGGCATTCATCAGATACTGCATTGAAGAGACCCACCGAAAAAAAAGGGCCTTTGAAGAAACCAGTCATTCTGGATTCAGAGATGAGTTTGTGTAGTCCTAACAGTAGATAAGGCACAAGTCCGCACATTAAAAGGCAAGGATTAAATGAAAGACTGAATAATTTCTTGTTCAGTGAGCACTGTTTATCCTGTGCAGTGATTGAGGCAGGGGTCTAGTGGAAAAATAGTTTGCAGTCATGAAATTAAAGACTTTGACTTAATGCACATAGGCAAGTGGGATTTAGGCAGTGTCCAAGGAAAAGTATCATGATCTTCATTCTCCTAATGAAAGATTCTGTATTGTTTGAATCTGAGTATAATTAATCATTCATGAGGGAGGAAAATACAGATATGTATAAGAGGAGCATAAAGATGTCTGGTTTTCCTTCTTGCTGAGCAAGGGAAAGGACTAAATTACACTGATCTCAGTTTGCATGGTGAAGTCTCGGAAGAGAAAGAATAGAGAACACTGTGCTCACTGTAGCACTGCCAAATCTCTCATTTGGGGAGTTTTAATATCTGCTAGGGCTCCTTAGTGGTAGCTATTGAGAGACTCAGAAAATACCACTATGAGTCCTCCAGTAGCTGCTGTAATGTGAGAGGGTGGAAATACGGAGGAGATAAGGGAGGAGCATGGAAAAGAGCGCTCCTCTCCACGTGAAGGGCTGCTATTCCATGGAACAAACTGGAGATTTCTGCCTGGCAATCTGCACAGTTCTTCCTTTCTGGATCCTCTGCACCATACTCGATGACGTACTTCCTAGAGACATCTGAGTTTAGTTTCTTTCCCCCAGGGCTCCAGCCTCTGGACTTTTCCAGAGATAGAGCTTTGCATACTTATTTGGGAGTTTTACTTGTGTGGGATATATGAATAGTATTTAGTAGTATTTTGCTGTAGTCACGATGATGTAAGGAGCTAGGCAAGAAAAGGTTTACAAGTAATTGCGATGTATTTTATTAGACCAAGTGATAAAGTTAGAAAAATGAGGTAACTTTTAAATACTGAAAAGGCTGCAGAATGGATTTACTGATATAAAGGCTTTGGAGTGTAAAGTGCAGTATCCTTCTGACCCCACCTTCATTGTTCTTTGTGTATTGTATCCCCATATTCATGATGAGTTATGGTAAATTTCCCAAACTATAAAAACATTAGTGGATGGGGTAGAAGTACATTTAAAATGAAGACAGGTCTATAAAATGGGGTCATTGTATGGCTCTAGCATATCATTTTATTGCTTATGGAGCAGCATAGACAGTTAGCATTCCTGAGGATCTCCCCTTTGCTATAAAGACGTGGGTGCAATTCACTGTGCTACTGTGAGAAATCTGGGACCTTCTACAAACCTCTGTTTAATACAGGGAGCAACATGCACCCAGGAGCAGCAGCCCTTCTATAAGCTTCTTCAGAATTTCCTGTGTCTTAGTTTAGTTTGCACAGCCAGAAGATCAACAAAGGTTTTCCTTCTCAAAGCTCTTCCAGTGCAGAAGTGCAGATCTTCTCTTTGTAACAAACTTCTGCTTTCATAGGAAATTTTGCTTTTGCAAATACCAGCTCATGAATCACCTAATGAAACAATGCAGAGCCTTTCTTTTTTTTCAGGCAGAAATGCCATGTCAGCATTCAGAAGAACAAAGCATCTACTTTGTCTCACACTGTCTGTCAAGCAAATTTCAGTGAGACATCCAAATATTTTACTAATATTTTACTTGATGAGGATAGATTGAGTTAAAAATTAAGCTGCACATTTTTGTGTTATTATGTTCTCTTTGATTTTCTTTTTTTCCTTTAGAAGTGAGGTGCTATTGTGAAAGATCAGTGAACCATGAACAGGTGAACTTGTCTTATGACAATGTCCAGAAATGACAAAATCTGTTTTGCTAATTTCTTCCTCTTTATTTCATTTTTCAGTGTACAATAGTGACATGAGGCTAGTTATTTTGTCTGAGTGCAAAGTGAAGTTCATAGTCAAGATACAGACAGTGCTGAATGAGCAAACTCTGAAATTATAAATCAATGTTGGCTTGCCTTTTTTGCTGCTAGGTATCAGGCTTTAATCCTAAACAAATCTGCCCTTTAGTTCCTATCTGATATATGTCAGAGGATCATTTGAATTATAGAATAGCAATTTCCTCTGTATCTTCATTCTTCTTGCAAGTGTGTATTTCAGTACAAGGCAGATGGCACAGATTATTTTATATTCATAATGCATATACCTCTAGGAGAGCCACACCGCAGTGTGCTGATGCTGGCTGCATGGGTTATGTGTTCTCAGGAGACTAACATGTTCAGAATGTATTCTTTTGCCCTTTCCCCTGTCGTCTCATGTTTTGCTATGATAGAAGCACTAGCAAGTGAAAGGCTTGTTATTGATTTCTGTGCAGATGTTAATAATTTCCGTGTAACTCTGCATTGGAGTGGCAGTAACTGATGTACAAAATTTGACATATTAATTATTCCTTGATGGAAAGGAGGGCCACTAACCTGAGACACAGCAGCCTATTAACTCTGGATCTGTGGATTCAAAGCAGCCTTAGGTCACAAGTGAAATGAGTGAGGCCACCTCAGTGTAGTCTTTATGGGCGTTTGCTTGCTTCTCAAAGACACCAGACTCTCTTCAATGTGTCTGGAGCAGATGGAAGCAGAAATCCTGAAACAAAAAATGTCTTACTTCCAATATTGCTAGCCTAGCTGGAATCTCAAGTGCTGGAAATCTCAGTAAAGCACAATTTATGAGCTTCCCAGCCTTCTTGCTAGTTGCATCAAAACATGCATCCAAAACGCTGTTGTTTACTCAGTCAAAAAGACAGGTTCAGGAATTTTGGTGTTTGTCTGTCAGTCCCATCCAGTAGGCATAGCTTCAGTTCCAGCAGTTGCAGATCTATGGAGAATTCCCGTGAGCTGGGAATATTAAGTGGACAAGCAAGAGCACACGTGCACCATAGGTCATTAGCAGATATTAAACAGTGAACCCCAAAAATCTGATCCCCAGCCACTGAAGGTATTGCTATCATTACAACAGTGAAAGAAATTTCTTTAGCAACAGGTACATATCAGGCTGATGCTATCTTTGCTTTCAGCCTTATGCCACTATTACCCTCAACTTTTAGTGTAGGAGAGCTCTCTTCAAGAGGATGCCACTTCCCGACTAACCAGCCAGTCAACCTGTACACCTTGTAGCTAAAGCTCTCTTCAGAAATGATATCTGCATCTCTGACTACAGGATTAGATGACCACCACAGAAGCATTATATATGCATCATTATGCTGTTAAAATTGGCATGCCTGACAATTCCTATTCCTAGTCCAGTCACAGACAACCCCACAATAAGGCATCAGCATTTCAAAAGCTGTACTGTGCTGAACAATAGGGTAAATGGCGAGAACAGAAAATTTGATTCTCGCCTCAGTGGAAGAAAAGATCTAATATGAAAGAACAATTGTGCAAAGTCTTAAGACTTGATTGTTTTGTATTTCACCAGCATCATCCAAAATTAATTTCAGTGATTTAACTGGTATTATTATTGAGTTATGCAGTGCCCTAGCAGGCAAGAAAAAATTTAGGTCCTCTAATCTAATCCACTACCTTCTTGTCCTCCAGAGCTGGGCCAGAGTTTGCTTGTGCACTGTGCACTGGAAAAGGGCAGCAGCTTGATGTTTGCTGCAACGGCTCCTTAACAGTCAGCCTCCAACGCTGGTCTGCATCTCTGTATTGGCAGTGGTAACAGTGCGGAAGGACTGAGGCTACAAGACAGAAAGGGGGAACTGGGAAGAGGAAAGAAGTTTAAATTGTAGTCCAGGGTCTTGCAGCATACCCAGCTGCAGACACAAGATAGTACAAACCTGAGGAAGGAAACTAATTAGGATTCCATTAAAAAGAGGAGAAAAAATCTTGCATCACAATGGTCAAAGTGAAACCTTGCTCGCTAATGTAGCCTTAATTCATTTTATTTTGCAGAGACAGCAAGCTCACCATGTTGCTTCGGGAGTCCTTGGGGAATATGAACTGCCGCACCACAATGATAGCTCACATTTCAGCCGCTGCGGGGAACTACGCTGAGACACTGTCCACCATCCAGATTGCATCAAGGGTCCTCAGGATGAAGAAAAAGAAAACTAAGGTAAGACTAATGTATAACTCCCTTCTTGTAATGATGGAGGAGAGAGGAGGAAGGTCCCTACAGGGTCCTTGATGGGGTAGAGCAGCATGTAACAAAATCAGTAATCAATTCCAAAGTGTGTGTGTTTATGTACCCTGTCCTAGGCAAGTGGCTTAGAGCTCATAGCAGAGACTAGGGCGGGTAAACGCTTCAGCTTCAGAGATAGAGGAATGAGTTCAGACATATCTGCTATAGCAGGTTTGTAAGCTGGCCTCATTTAATGATATAGCTGTCAGAGAGCATTTATTTTCAGTTATGCTCTTAGTGCTAATGAAATAATAAGGAATGAAACCGCTGTAGAGTTAAAGGAAATTTGGATTAATGAAGAATTAGATTCTCTATGCTTCTTAGAGAGAGCAGGAGCAAAATAAATGCAAAGCAATGTGTCCATTGCCAGCATTGATGCCCCTTTTATTCCCACTGCTTCTAAATATGGGTGATAGATTTTCCATGGAGAGAGGGTGGGCTGTATTCAGATTCATGTTTTGGAGTCCTGGTTCCTTCTGTGAAGCTTTTGGTGTGAATTAGGCACAATGAATGAATTTTATGAGTTTCATTTAAATTGACAGCGTATGGATTGACAAAACCTTTTTTGTCAATGGATTGATGAGAGACAAGTGAGGGGATTCAGTCCACACACCATCACAGCAGTGTGTCTCCAGAGACATCTGAGTGCACGTTATGCAATTCCACACACTGGTAGTATGACCAAATGGGGATTGTCTTTATTTTCTGTGCCTTATTTGTGTAATGAGTTTTCTTGTTCTTCTTCATGCACACACACACACACAATCAGCAAAGTCTTTTCCAAATATCTGGTTTCTTTGGCCAGGCTCAATTAAGGGAGAGATCCTAATCCATTTGTTCACTTTTTCTTTGGAAGTCTTATGATTCTGAGTGGGATGCAGAGTTGGGGCATTGAGTTCTTCATTAAACACTGTTGGGTTTTTGCTGTAGGACTGTGGATAAGAAGCTTCAGAGCTCTGTGCCTCAGTTCAGAGATTTCCCACTTTAGATGTGACTCTGACCTTTTTCTGTATGCGCTTTGTGCAAGGAGCTGTTTGCAATGCTGAAATGTCATGGTCTCTCTCTTTCCCATATTGCAGTACACATCGAGTTCTTCTGGAGGAGAGAGCTCTTGTGAGGAGGGCAGGATGCGGAGGCCAACCCAGCTGAGGCCTTTCCATTCTAGGAACACCGTTGACCCAGACTTCCCTATTTTGCATTTATCAAGTGATCCTGATTATTCATCCAGCAGTGAGCAGTCGTGTGACACGGTGATTTATGTTGGCCCCAATGGCACTGCCCTTTCTGATAAGGAACTGACAGATAATGAGGGTCCCCCTGACTTTGTTCCCATAGTTCCTGCTCTGCAAAAGACAAAAAACGAGGGCAGGTTGGAGGAAGTTAATGAATCAGGGCCCAGCACATCTGAAAGAGACTGCCTGAAGTGCAACACCTTTGCAGAGCTCCAGGAGAGGCTGGATTGCATAGATGGTAGTGAAGAGACGGACAAATTTCCCTTTGAAGAGATGCCTGCTCAATTTAGCTCAGACCAGATGTCTAAGTGCTCTGTCTCAAGCCAGCTGGCAGAGCTTAGCCACTTACCAGAGTCAGATAAGGAAGATACGATGCCAGAATGTCAGCATCCTGAAAGAGAAGCCAAGGAAAATATAAATGCAACACCCAGCAAAACTAAAAGAAATCATTCCCCTGTTCCTTCTGGAGCTCTTACTAATGTTTCAACTCCTTCTTCTCCCAGGAGTGTAACAGGCAGCTCTAGTAAAGAGCTTAGCTCTTGTCAGTTAGTACACAGCACCAGCTTGCAGAGCAGCAGAGAAAGTCTCAACACCTGTGGATTTGTAGAAGGCAAACCTCGACCAATGGGTTCACCCCGGCTTGGCATCGCGAGCCTCTCGAAGACATCTGAGTACAAGCCACCAACTTCTCCTTCCCAGAGGTGCAAGGTCTATACACAGAAAGGAGTCCTGCCCAGCTCCACTCCCCCACCAGCTCCCCTGAGTAAGGATACTGGGATGACATCTAGTGAATCTTTACTGCAGCCAGAAATCCGGACCCCACCTGTAGGCATGAGCCCTCAGATCATGAAGAAGCCAGTATCCTCCAGCAATGGGGATTTCGAAGAGACTGTTCTTGATGAAGATCGGCAACAAAGCATTTCGCCAGAATCCAAGAAGGAGATTCTGAGCACCACCATGGTGACTGTGCAGCAGCCGTTAGAGCTGAATGGAGAGGATGAGCTGGTGTTCACCCTTGTAGAAGAGCTAACCATCAGCGGGGTCCTTGACAACGGGCGCCCAACAAGTATCATCAGTTTTAACAGTGACTGCTCTGTTCAGGCTTTGGCCTCTGGGTCTAGGCCAGTCAGTATCATCAGCAGCATATCTGAAGACCTCGAATGTTACTCCAGTGCAGCTCCTGTGTCTGAAGTCAGCATCACACAGTTCCTTCCACTTCCAAAGTTGGGTCTGGATGACAAATCCCAGGATGATGGCAGCAGGCGCTCATCTATCAGCTCATGGTTGAGTGAAATGAGCACAGGGAGTGATGGTGAACAGTCGTGCCACAGCTTCATAGCCCAGGCATGCTATGGGCATGGGGAAGCAATGGCGGAACCCCCTGTCTCCGAGTTTGCGAGCACCATACAAAGTGCCAGCATGATTTGTGTAAGTGACAAACAGAAGCCAGTGTCTGACAACATGCTTATACTATCAGAAATGGGGGAGGAAGCTTTCGGCAAAGTGCCACCCATCAAAGGCTGTAAAATATCAGCTCTAGGGAAAACTACTGTCACAATCAAAAACACTGCAAGCCTCAGCAGCTGTGAAGGCTACATCCCAATGAAGACAAACATTACTGTGTATCCATGTATTGCCGTTAATCCCTTCAAAGCACAAGACACTGATGACACTGTACCGGCAGTAACTGCAGACCCAAAGGTTGCTCATCCCCATGATGGGAAAGAATCCAGTGCTAAGAAGGATATCAAATTTGAAGATCCTTGGCTGAAGAGAGAAGAAGATGTAAAAAAAGACAGCTCTGGCAGCAGTGATGGGTCAAGGCCTGACACGGCCACTGTTTCAGCCAAGCCTGAGCACAGCACAAAGCAGTACTCAGCAGACAGGTTTAGCAGCAGCAGTGGGGACACCTCTATCTCCCCAGGATCTGACAGTCTAAAGAGGATTGTGGATGGGTGTGAGGTGGCAGTATCTGGCTGTGCAACCCAAAGCCCTGTTCACTCCAGTGATGGCTTGAAGAATGGCAGTCTCCCTCGAGGGCTCCCAAAGGCAAGCAAGCCAGAGGAGCCTGACAGTCACCTCCATCCTACTGCCATGGACACCAGTGGAGTCAGCTCTCCTGCGCTGCCGCAGTTTTCTAAGGCTAGCCTTGATAAGAAAATGGCCTCTCCCAAACACTGTGTCCTCACTCGTCCCAAAGGGACCCCTCCTCTGCCACCAGTGAGAAAGTCAAGCTTGGATCAGAAGAACAGAGCCAGCCCCCAGCACAGCGCAGCCAGCAGCACCACGAGCAGTCCCTCCAGCCAGCCTGGGTCCTTCCTGGCCAGCTTCCCCGAGGAGCTGAATGCCAAACAGAAGGGCCTTGGCATCGACAACAGTAGCAACAACAGCAGCAGCAAGCTCTTCAGTGCCAAACTGGAGCAGCTCGCCAGCAGGACTAACTCCCTTGGGAGGTCCACAGGAAGCCACTATGAATGTTTGTCGCTGGAAAGAGCGGAAAGCCTGTCCTCTGTGAGCTCCAAACTGAGTCCTGGCAAAGACACCACCATGCCTAGGGCTGGAAGGAGCCTCAGCCGCAGTGTTATGTCCTCACCCACCAACTCGGGCCTCTCCCAGTCTGCAGGTGCCTCCCCGAAAGCCAGCCAGTCGAAGATCTCTGCAGTCAGCAAGCTCCTGCTGGCGAGTCCCAAGGCCCGCAGCCTATCTGCCTCTGCCACCAAAACGCTCAGCTTCTCGACCAAGTCTCTGCCTCAGTCTGTAGGGCAGAGCTCCAGTTTGCCTCCAAGTGGGAAGAACATGTCCTGGTCAACGCAGTCCCTCAGCAGAAATCGGGGCTCCAGCCTTGCTTCCAAATTGCCCCTTCGGGCTGTCAATGGTCGGATTTCAGAGCTGCTCCAAGGGAGTGCCAGTGCCAGAGGCTTACAGCCGCGGGGAAACTCAGAGGCAGATGAGCGTGGGGGCCTTCCTGGAGATGAGAAGCCAACTGTTCACATGCTGCCTTCACCTTACAGCAAGATCACCCCTCCTCGGAAACCTCACCGCTGCAGTAGTGGTCACGGGAGTGACAACAGCAGTGTCCTGAGTGGGGAGCTGCCCCCCGCCATGGGGAAAACAGCCCTGTTCTACCACAGTGGGGGGAGCAGTGGCTACGAGAGCATGATGAGGGACAGCGAGGCGACGGGAAGCGCCTCTTCAGCACAAGACTCCATGAGCGAAAACAGCAGCTCTGCAAGCGGCAGGTGCCGAAGTCTCAAAAATCCAAAGAAACGATCAAATACAGGTAAGCTCGCAGTGGTGTGAAAGAGGAATGCAGACCAAAGCAGATAACTAGTACCTGGTGGGGAGGCTAACCCTAAAGGTGAACTAATTCAGTACAATCTATAACTCTTAGCAGAGAAGCGCGGCCAGGGAAAGTGTCCTAGGTTCTGAGTTTCTTCATTTTGCAACATGCACAAATCCTGTGTGGTTGCATTGCCTTTGTGGTGGAACCTCCCCCTCACCATTTCACTTAGGTTTACTTCACATGAACAGAAGAACATTTATTCCTAAAACTGGTTAGTTTTGACAATGGCAGCCATATTCAAGTATTTATTTATACAAATATTCTTCTGATTTAATTCCAGAAAGATGCCTTTGTGCAGCAGTGAAATGTAACTGTTATTCTTAAGTACTTTGGGCACAGACTCCCCTCTTGGTATGCACAGGTTTCACCAGCACAAGACCAGAGTCTTGCTGAATAGCAGTGTCTGTTTTGAGCCCACAAAGGTGCAAGATGCCCCACAGCTGAAACCACTGCTGAGTTCCTTCTTCCCACTTAGAAAATGGAACAAAGTTGTGCCCATGCCCCTTGAAAGATGTCATCCTGCCTCTGAGGCTCTTGGTTTTTAACTTTTGAGTTATGAGTCCCTCTTTTCCCAGTAATTTATTGATAAAAAAAAATAATATATTAATAATAACATATGGGAATTACTGCACTGAAGCGCTTGCAAATCTGAAACCTCTTTAGTGGTCATGGAAAGGATCAGAAAGATTTCAACTTTATTCAGATATAATCCCCCGTAGCTTTCTCACTACATCAGGACTTTTTAATTAGACGGCAAAAGCCTTCTGGGTCATACCAAGAGTCTGTGCAGTTTGAACTGGTACATATTCCCACCAGAACGAGTTTCTGAAAATTGCAGGACCGGGATGAGAAGCATCCATCAGCTAGTCACCTCACCTTTTTCTTGGGTGTTGTTTTCCCAACCTGAAGTGTGAGTCCTACCTAACCTACTTTCGAAAAAAATGCACATTGTCATTGGAACTGGTGTGCAGAGGTATGTGAAATACAGTGGTTACTTATCCTACAGTAGTGCTGGCTGTCTAAAATATGTTATTCTCATAGAGTTCCTGATTCACCAGCCATTCCTATTTGCTGGGATACTCACCTCTGGGATTCATTTTCAGTGAACAGAGTAATGCATAATTCTCCCTTTCTTTATGCTCTTGACTGTGGTAGCAGGAAGAACATGTGAAGAACAGATGTGAATACAATAGATACCACTATTAAAACCATATCCATAAGTGCATGACTGATTGTACCTGTTCAGAGGGTGCATCTGAAAGTGATCACTCTACCCAGTGCACGCACAGACGAAGTGATGAAATAATCTTTCTGAAGTTAACTTTGCATCCTATGAGAAACCCTCTTTCCTATCCCTTCAGTTTACATGGCAATAAATTGATTTTCCTCTTTCTGAGGAGCTGTTCTTTTGATAGCTCCTTTTAAATACAAACTTTTTGATGGTAACTTGCAAGAAAAAGAAGGATGATTTGTATATTGTGGAAAAGGAAAACAAAGCTGTCCACAGAGATTGCGTTCCTGGGTGTATACTATCAACTGGATGGTATCTTGTAGAGAAGCTGCCCATATAATATGGAGGTTTTCCATAGGACTTTTAGATGAAAAAAATTATCAAGTTCTGTGAAAACAGGCAGCTGTGCAGGTGAGGGAACAGAGAGAAAATTGCAATGTAGATTTATCTGTATTAGACACTACAGAACACACATCCCCCTTCCCTGGGGGAGATACTTAAAAAAATACTCTGAGAAGAGCTTCAGGCAGAGCCTGTGGATTTTTTAGACTCCAGAGTTCATCCCAAACTTAATCAGTAGGAGACCAGGATCTGTTTACTCTGCTCATAAAACTGGTTGTTTCATTTCAGTTCTGTCTCTCTGCTTAGATAGCACATTGGAGGCTGGACAAGGCTGGACGTACAAGCGAGGAAAACATTGTTTTGTAATTACAGAAGAGCTTCAGATCTGTGTATTGCACTTTATATCAGGGTTATATTTTGGCTTACAACTTTGGCTTTCGATAACCCCTGTGTAGGACAGAACATTGTGTCAGTGGCAGTGAAAAGGGACTTAAGAAGAGAGGACTGTCTGAGACGCAGGTATCAGGTTGTTTTTGTAGTAGTCTGGAAGACACAGCTGGAGAGAAGAGGCTTTTCCATGGTCTAGCCAGCCTTGTCCGACCTGGCAGAGCAGTGATGCTGGTTTGTCATGCTGTGCAGATACACAAAGTGAGGGGGTGAGCAGGTACTTTTCCTTTGCAGGATACATGGAGAATCTAAGCTTTGCTGCTTTTTTACTGCTATGTAACATCTGACCTGTGTTTTTCACCACATACAGCTTTTTCGTTGGCTGACAGGTTAATCTCGTTATTCTAATTTCTTGTTAGGTTTAGTTCTTCTCTCCCTGGTCAGCAACATTGCAGATACCTACCCATTGTTGGACCTGAATCTCTGGGATGGAGGGTTTTCAGTGGAGGGTCTATGTCCCTGGAAGTTGCCTGCCATGGTGGGCTCAGCATAGCCTGACACGTTGACTTCCCTCAAAGTACTTTGCAAAGCTTCTGTCTTAATTCAGCCTGTTACCTGATGTGGAGAGATTCTAAATGTATTATTTCTGATACTTTTGAGAGTGGTCGTCTATATTTGCAAGTAATTCCTGTATTGTTTTGAATGACTTGTATCTGTGTGTAAGTAAAACAAGGGGTTTTATGCAAATTGAAAAAATAGTCTTTACTACCTTCTATATCTCTAGCAGCAAACCACTCCCCAGAAATTAATAAGGCTTCACTTTCTTATAACCCAGCTCCTGTTTGCATTTGGTCTTGCAGCAGTGAAATCATAATTCTGTTTTGATGTGTTTGATAATAGTATAATTTTTCACATGTCAGCAGATTTATAATGTCATAAACCCAGGATTATGACTTCAATGCAGGAGAACATGAAGGAGAAGCTGATATATAAGGGAGAATAGAGCTGTTCACAAATATATTTTTATTGCATAATAAACAAAAAAAAAGCAAAGGGTTGCAATCTTTCACCCTCTGTAATATCTACCTTCTATAGGTCTGTTCTAGTGTGAATGTTCTCTCTTAAGGAACACTTTTTAATGAAAAAGATAGCAGACAAAGGTTCTGCGCTCTTAAAAGACAGATATTATTTTAATACATAGTGTCAAGAGCATTGGACCTTCCCTGATTTGCGGTCACAGATCCACTGTGCTGTAATGGATATGGCACTATAGATATGCTCATTTCAGGTCAGGCAACCTTGTCCACTTTATTTATGATTATTATTAACAGAAATGCTAGCTGTCAGACACGATCAACATGAATCAGCCCAAGGCCCCTGTAAGAGGAGCTATAAAGAGTCTTTAAGAGAATCACCAGCAGCCCTGTCAGATCTCACAATTACTTTTGAAGTTCTGACACATTGGAGAGACATTTTTTTTTTTTTTGAGATTAAGATCTTGTCTTTCAATGCTCTTAAGTGCGTTATTTGTATGTGTAGGTGCTTCTGCCCTGAATGTCATACATGAAGCCTCAGACCTGCATTGACAGCTTTTGGAAGATAAAGCTAGTTCATATCCTTCAGTGTTAGCCTTAGGTTGAATTTTGGGCTCTGCCTGGGTACCTTTACATTTCACAGACAGCCCAGTATTGTGTGTACAAAATTAAAAGAAAATTAAAAAAAATATTTACCTCTTGCTTCCTGGTGCCTATTGAAAAATCATATGTTTACATCATGAAGTGCATAAGCCTTTCCCCTGAAGCTAACCTATCCAGTTAATAAACATTTCCATCTTTCTAGCATTTAACATCGGTCCTATAACGTCATATCGGCATATATTGCCCCAAAGTGACTGCTTATGGCAGAAACAGGGCTATTTAGCCCTGATCTATGGCTGTACATTTCAAAGCTTTGTACAGCTGCTCTTTAATCTGCCCTGTGGTGTAAGTATTATTCCAGACCCCATTTTACAGAAGGAGAAAAGAAGGCAGAAAACTTCACCGACTTGCTCAATGCCTACAACTAAGTGAGAGCCAGATCCAGGGTTAAGTTACAGGCACCCTTGACTCCTAATCTCAACCTCAGCTGACTTGGCTGCACATCCTCCCCTGCCCTTGCTGAGCAGTGGAGAGGAGGGTTTCATTTGTTACTTTCTTTTTGTGGCAGGCACTTCCTCCCTCTCCATCTGCAAGCATCTGTGCTGATGTTTTCTCCGGTTTCTTCGCTCACTCCATTAGCCTTTCCAATTGGCATCTCAGCCGTATTTCAGGCTCTGACTCTGTAGTCTCCCCTCTCTCAGGTAGGCAGTGCTGTCTTGAGTGGGGCACTGAAGTGTTAGGGCATAATTTGTACGGTCATCACTAGCACCACTTTTATATTATTTTTAATTCCTCAGAAATTTCAAGTGCAAGGGCCCAATGCTGCTTCATGGAAAGGCAATGACAAGAGTGCTTTTGTAATACGTACTAATGTGCGTGGTCAGGAAATGCATTCTGGCTGACCTCCATTTTAGGAAAGCCATATTTGTATCCCAGGAACATGACAGGTATGAGAGGGAGGCAGGCGGGGTGGCAGATTAGGACTTGCAAGATCTATGCTGTATTCTCTGTTGTGCTGCTGGTTTGCTGTATCACCTTGGGCAACTCATGTAATTTCTGTGCTCCCTGGTTACCAGCTCATAAAACTAGATAATGGTGTTGTGAAAAAAAGTAACAGCAGGGTCCTTAGATCGGAAGTGTTACCTACCTGCTATTTTGCTCTTCTGCTTGGGTTTTTAGCATCTTTGCCCCAATTTAGTTTGGATGCACATGGACATTACTTTAAAATAATTCTCAATACAAAACATGACTGGATGATTTCAGAGATGCAGCTTTGGTGCTAGCTTCAGGTCCTGCCCGCTGGGGGCTGGTCCTGCCCGCCAGGCAAGAGCCCAGGTTCC